GRAAAAAAAAAATCGTACAAGAACAGTTAATTTAGAAAAACAGACCYCAGTMGGCTCCTTYTCTAGTTTCATTTATTCTTGCCGTGACCAGAAATATTGAATATTAAATAAAAACTATCAGTAGCTTTTAAGACAGAAGGTAGTTCATGGCTTTGGATAGATTAATGGCTTGTGTATCATAACACAATATCATGCAATAGTAAAGCTTGATAAATTCGCGGTTTCAAAAAGGTCATTCCGAAAACGCTGAACATCTTTTAGTGTGTCTATACCGCGAATTGTTTGTGGATTGGTAAGTGATTTGAGCGTATTTTTTGAAGAAGAAGCAATACCATAACAATAAGCACATTGGCACTTGGCCAGTAGGATTGCCATGACGTCGACGAGACAAGACGGGCTAGGAACGCCTGGCTAGTCTGGCCGCGATTTGGCGATGAATGCGAAAAAAAAATAATAACGCCGAAACCTAAACTCGCGGTTCCACAGGAACCCCGAGTAATTACTAGTCAATAGTGTACAAATTATTCCCTGAAGAAGGCCTCTGTTAAGAGATGAAACGCGTAGAAAAATAAAAAAGTTCGCAACTATTCAGTTCTCCGTAGTGCTGCTCACTAGTCTTAGTTAAATTTTTTTTAAATATATCGTGTTTTATAGAAAACTCAGAATCCTGCTAAAAATCCAACTCGAGATCCAACTCGAGATCCAACTTGAGATCCAACTCGAGATCCAACTCGAAATCCTACTCGAGATCCTAACTCGGCGTTTAGGTAACCTCGGCCTGCATCTCAGGAAATTAAATAAGTGACTTGATGATTGGCCATTACTTTCTTTTCTTTGGATTAAATTCCTAATGTCCGAAGGGGGAGTTCTTTTGGACTATAAGAAGTCAAATTCCACCTTCAAGACTATTCTATTGACCGATATTGATCGTATTTAAAAGTCATTATCTTCTGACCGTCTTTTTTTTCTGCTTCTTCTGATGTACAATCTCTAGACAGATATCAAGATTTGAATAGCATAAATGGCGGAGCGACAATAAGCTGCTTCCTGCAAGTTATTACGTACAAAAAGAAGCACTCCAGTAAAGACTGAGAAGTGGAGTATTGGACTGGTGAAAATCTGAGCTTTAAATCAGCAAAAGAGATCGCAAAATGGAAAAGAAATTAAGTCAGCGAAAACTAATGAAATTGTCTAACCATGAACTAAGCATTATCCACTATATGCCACACTTTCAGGAACATAGAAAATAAAAGGCTGTACGTATTTGAAAATTTTGTAAGACACTCCAGGAAAATCATCCAGAATTAAAGTTATTTCTCTTTGAAGTTATTGATGAACTTGGTCTTACCTTGAGAGASTCGCTAATTTATCGYTGTAAATTTAATGAAGCAGAGCCCAGTGAGTTTGTGTTGAGAGCTTCACCTGCAAACCTGATTACTCACAGTTTACGTATATTTAATGTCATTGGATGACGTCACAATCTACTTTGACACAGATTCTGCTGTTATCAGCCAATCGTACCTCATTGAAATCGAAATTGAATTAATTAGGATTAAATTAGAGAAAGAAGATTGCAACATATGCCCAACAATAATTGGCTAATGGTTTCGGGAAAGTTTGTGTCATTTGTACCCGCTATTTACCATGTTAATATCATTGACCATCTCCGGGTTTTATTCCGAATTCTGCTGTTTTAAGTGGGATTTAACTAATTCCTTCAGAAATTCTGTCCAAATCTCACGCTTATTATCTAGATGAATGCTAAAGACGTATAACACTTCCACGAGCGGGCATTTTAAACTTTGTTGGAGATCTATATTGTTTACCATTCATGATGAAGTAAATGATAAATAAATAAATAAATAAAATATAAACAATAATATAATTTTAAATTCGTTTTATACTCGATCAAATGATAAAAGTTCCCTCAGTGAATCATCCTGTAATGTTATCAAATAGACGTACAATTGGTATAATGGAAGTCTAGGTAAAAATAGAACGCGATTTTCTAATTGTCACAAGGAGTTCTTTTATATATCAGTTTAGCAGGATGGTAATTTGATTTATATCCCCCATGAAAACAGCACTTAAGCCTCAAAGATGTATAGTATTAAGATTCCACGTTGAGATAGTTCATGCTGGGGGTTGTCTAGTTTTCCAGTTCATGCATATATTGCGGAAACTTTTTCCAAAATATGGAGCTGATAGATATTTAGCCTTTAATTTTAACCATTGGTTCTAATTCTGTTTAATTGTATACATTGTAGCTATAAATAATACGATTGGAAACACTTATTAACACTGTAAACATCACGGGAGAGCCCATTTATATAGACATAAAATCGGTAGGCCTTCAACAACTCGTTATTAACAAAACATTATCGAAGTTAATTGAGAAGAGGATTCTGTAGAAATAAGCTGAGATCCATCTTAATTGACTTTTGCTTCAAACAGACACTAATAGCTGCCGGGACAGATGTTTCGAGACAAATCGTTCACAACAAAATAAAGATCGCTATRTAAACTATTGTTTGCCAATCATTAAAGACAAATGAACAACATGGGATCATCAAATGCATTAATATTGATGGTAGAATATGAATATTTACCTTTCAAGAATTCCTCATACAGCTTCACCGGTTTTCGTGGTCTGCTGTTTATACAGTCACTTATTGTAATTGACAAAGCATACGATAAAATCATTTTTGATCCAAATCAACATTTCATTCATTCCTTCGAGACGATRATAACTTCTTATTTATTGCTAGCATTTAAAGAGGTCATGACGAACCATGACACGTGATAAATTATTAAAATTCCATCTTTGAAATTACCTGTAAAATTGTTGCCATCGATAAAGCGTGATTTGTTTGTCTTCTTATTTTTGGAAGCTAAATAAATCTCTCAGTCATATGCATTTATAAGGGCTCTACGGGTGAKATCAAGTTTCGCCGATAATCCCCATGTTTGTTAAATGTTTTTCTCATTTTCAAAACAAAACAGCTTTAATCTTAATCTATGATATTAGCTGCGAGGGAAGAGCCGGACAGGTGGTGGATTGATACAATACTAATGGTAAGCTGGTCACCGTAGTTATAAAGAAATAAAAATAGAAGAACAAGAGTAGATGAGAAGTGAATGAATAGGAATAAAAWATAACATCATCAGCCTATCATAATGAGAGAGGCGATGATGACAGGACTATCAATATTCATTTCATGAAATGCTCTATTGAAAATACTTCTTTCTAAAAATGACTGCTGCATGACAGGTCTTTCACTATCAACTAGTGGAGCAAAATCAACGATAAATCTCAACGCGTATCAGCATATAATTGGATCAACAAACGTTCATTTATAAATCGAATTCCCTCTAAACGCAAATCAGGATTTGCATCCAGTGTCCTTCCCTTAAATATAGTCAACTGCGCATGCGCTTTTACGACATCGGATTTCAAATTATTTGATCGGATTATATAGGCGTCTACAGGTTCATATCGTATTACAAAGGTAGTCAGTCGGGAGACACATATATTTTCAATATAYACGAGGTCAATATAAACAAGGGTACTTTGAGCACCTGGCCTTGARGGTACCAGACCCTATGCAACTGACGTTAAATAAAAAATCTTATATGATCAATACCTTTTAATAATGACCATCCATCAACAGGCAGAGTGCAAAGATACAAATACAAAATTCAATAACCAGTGATAAAGGCAGACAAGAAACTCTTATTAGGCATATAAATCGTACAACTTCCGCCATTTGCATGAAAGCGATTTTATCAATCAAACCCTGAGGGTGTTTGGAATCAGAAACAACTTAACGGGCAGGACATTGRCGTACTTGTAGGCACACTCCATCAAATATAGACACAACGACAACTGATTGTAACGCCACACTACAGGGGGGGATAATATACAACCTAATGTTTTAGTTTTTATTCATTATTTACATTTCATTGAATGTCCAATTTAAAAGCAATTTGGAAGCTATTAACTCGCCCAAGGTGGTAGGAGATTGATGATGACAGACAGCTATGCTGACCTTGCTATGAGCAGTCTGCAGTCAATAAATGYAAGCATCACAAAGGAAACAGAAAACGATATCCAATTGTTTGGGCCACTGTTTCAATGACCGAGGTGTTTTTATCGCTTCCAGTAAATTATCTATAGTACCGTTGACAATAGACGAAATTTTATCTTAATGAAACCATTCGTGCAATTTGCTTGTTTGCAATATTCTTCWTAACAGGTATAACTAGTTTATTGTACAAATGTACAATAATTTTACAAGGTTATTGTAAAAGAAGATGAACTATACGTGTTATGTCGTGTAGAAACAGTATAACAATAAACAAGCTTACCATAAAGCCTTATCCAGTCAAAAGAGTTGTTCTCTAAATCCTATGTGTTTTGAAGGTTTTCAATGCTATCAGTGTTTTCATAGATATCCCACGCATGCCACTAAAACACTTCCAAACCCACGAGCAAAACATCAGCCGCTAATATAGATCCTCYGACGTCAGAGATTATAGCGGTGTAGGAATTAACTCAAGAATAACWATCAATATTATATAGCACACTGAATCAATCATAGACAACCATGGCAACACGGAATGCTGGYAACAACACGCATCTATAATACAGCAGTATGCTGTTCYACTGAGAAAACTTTGAATACTATAGTCAGGGGGATGCATTTTATTAAAAAAATGTTCACCGACAGATTCCTGATGCGTTTTATTTCGGTCATTGAGTACATCCACATATATTACAAAGTCTAGTTGCCATCCACTTAGAAGCATGTTGACACTTCATTACACTAAGAGTTATTGTAGCCACACAACCATGCAATACCATGGTTCGTCCAACCTTGCATGGGTTATGGTTGCATGGTATTTATATTATACACTGATACGAGTGCTATTTACTAAATCACGAGCAATACCCAACAAACCCTCTAAATAACTAACAATCACTTCATATCTGTTGCTTTTTACATACAGATCATATCCGTGCGATACTGTCTGTTATACCTGCTCGCACAGTTCGAAATAAATGTCACTTGTTTCGACCGGTATTTAATAGTGTGCCGCAATGCATAGTGTTTTGCACGTGATGGCATGTTTTAAGTACTTCTTGAAAGATTACTAAACTTTTTGACCCTGTTGACTAGTTCGTATAACACGCACCATGAATATATTTTTCATTATCTAATACTGGTTTCATTGTACAAGATCAGGGGAGGTATTACCAGTATAATCATACTAACAACTTCACCATGTAAACCATACAACAAGTTGACCGTAATTAAGGTTTAACACGGACAACCATATTGTTAATAMAGATGGAACATAGCATCTTTTAGGTTCATGTTAGAGTTGTTGCATATTGTCGTCGTGGACTGTTTTTGCGTGCGAATATCTTTAGGACAGTTCGCCTGAACTCAGGTACGAGATACGAGTAGATAATAGGATTTACACAGGAATTAATATAGTGGAGCAGCTTAATAATGTACACCAATTCATTAGGAATYCTCCTACATGACACGCAGAAGAACGACACAAAGTTGAGGACGTGGAACGGCAGCCAAGTGAAGATGAACACTGTTGTAACGATGAAAAGCATGAGAGCAAGACGTCGGTCATGGTCGTTGGTCTTCCTGTGGTGGTCTACGTTAGCAAATCGAAATTTCATTCGTATTCCAATGACAGGATAACTTATGCARATTATTATCAAAGAAGCGCTGAACGCAACAATCAAAAAATAAAAGAAGACTTTAAACTCGATTAACTTGTTCATGAACAAGAATCGCAGTACTGCCATTAAAAAGGACAAGATCCAMACTGATCCGATCATATAGTAGTACGCTTTACGACCAATACCTCGGTGAACATGAGGAAAACACACYGAGAACACCCTTTCAATAGCGATGATAGTTAGTGTAAATATCGACGCACATCCTATAAAGATATCCAGGACTTTAGCAACAAGATATGGAAATCTTCCCCAAACTTCGTTACCACGTTGACTGGACAAACCCAGGTAATAGGTGAAGAACGGTACAGCAATAATACCAACAAGCAAGTCAGCCACTGCCAGGTTAACCAGGAAATAGTTAGCACGCATGCGCAGTAGCCGTTTGTTGGTATGGAAAACAACAAGTGTTAACGCATTACCAATGACGATAAGAAGGTCCACCGTGACATAAGCAATGCACCATGCAATTACTTCTGGTAAAGGCATCAGGACTTCTCCAACAGTTGAGTTATTCATGCTAAAAGTACAAAGAAATGAGTTAATGTCCTTTTCCTTGACTACACCGCGCTAGTGAACTGGTATTTGTATGTGGCACTATAGTAGGAGGGGGGTCAAGGGGGCATGTGGTCTCCCCTCTTAAAAAAAAATAGTTAAATTTAATAACCATGTACTACGGAGGAAAAATTGATTGAAATAAACAAGCCTTTTACTATGTGAAAAACTAGGAACTAGTGTATGGAGAGTGCAGAATGTAGGAACTAGGTTATGGAGAGTGCAGAATGTAGGAACTAGTGTATGGAGAGTGCAGAATGTAGGAACTAGGTTATGGAGAGTGCAGAATGTAGGAACTAGTGTATGGAGAGTGCAGAATGTACGAACTAGTGTATGGAGAGTGCAGAATGTAGGAACTAGTGTATGGAGAGTGTAGAATGAAGGAACTAGGGTTAGGAACTAGGGTTAGTAGAAGTAATAGGACGGTTAGAAGTAGTTAGGATATGGAGACCGTAAGAATATAATATTTCACCATCACAACTCATTGTTTGGGAATGCCGTGCTAGACGTTTGCTTCAAAATGTGCTTAAAATGAAAATTATTTAATTCTTATAATTACATCAGTATAGTATGAGAAACAAAGTTTTGTGTGGTAAACTACTGGTAAATAAATGATGCTTTTGGTAAATCGAGAGGTGTTCATTTATTTAGATTTCATAACGAATCGTTCGTCTAAAGCGTTATAACAATATTTCAATATATTTAGGTGTCTCTATATCAGACAAGKGCAGCTGCGAGGCAGGAAAGCAATCACATCCTGCTACCAATATCCCCTCTCCTCCCCCAAAGAGTACGATCTTGACTGACAATGCAAACACACACGTGGTTCTTTTTGCTGGTCACGCTACATCGATTACTAGCTACATTAGAACTGTTGATAAAATATATCCTTATTCCATGCTAGGTTGAGTGCCTTTGTTTTGTTATATTTGCATTGATACAGTTCAATATTTACTCTAAGGTTTTTTTYMWTTWMTTTATCGAAAGAMCGATGTTATTATCCATCAACGAGGGGGCAGAAGTGAACTTGATAAATATTTTGCAGCTTCTACGTACAAAAATAAACACCTATCGCACTATTAAGAAATACTAAGCGTTGTTTTGTATTTATATCCATTAACTTGAAAAAGAACACGTACATCTGTTCTAAATTACTAAATCATCGCTCAATAAAGGGTATGCTGCTAATCTCCGTCGATGGAAGGTTATCTCTGTCAATCCAAGACAATTAGCTAGTTTAGAAAGCTTTTCTTTTGTGCATAACTTGATTAATGCTTTACAACAAGAATGTATAGAATTCCAAAGAGTTTGATCAAAACAAAACAATACTTAGAAGGTTTTCATGTCAATTTGAGAGGAGTACTTGAAATCGTAACATAATTTCTTCCATGTAACAAACAGCATATACACATCACGTATACACACAAAGATGTTACCTTTGAACGGATCAGTGCTTGTCTCTAGCGAGGTTCAGCTGTAAATATAAATAGAATCTGTTAATGGTTGTTCAAACTATAACGTTGCAGTGTTCTGTATTCAACTATAATGTTTACCAAACGAGGCAAGAGTACCAATATCGGTGCAATAACCGAGCCACTACTCTTTGAGTTAATTATTTGGTTGAGATCTCACACTAAAATGTGCCGTTGAAATATTAAAATTCGTCGATGTACAAACTGACATTGTGAAGAGCTGACATGACAGAAAGATGAAATGTTGACCCACAAAATTGGTTCTAATTTTAGTCTGTCAATCATTGCTGAACCGCACTGACTTATGGGTTTAGTTTATATTTCTAGCAATGAAATAACAACACAAATATATTCTTTAATCAGAACAAAAGTCTTCCGGGCTACCTTTGTATAACTAACAATATACAAATACATGAAAGGTGTAAACTAAACTAGAGCATAATGTGGGAAGTTCATTGGGGAAGCARTGCCCAACTAGACCATGATTATCATACCGGCAAACAGCGTTTTAAAGCTCTCTAAGGGGTCTTGGCGGACGGATGTAGGGAAGCGAATACGGAACCTATTTTTTTTAAATCAGAGGTTGTGGGTAAAAAACATTTCAATTAATGCTAATAAAAYGCTACGTGGCTAACAGTTTTCTGCGGTTGTAAGATCATATTAATTGAAGTCGGTTCTGGTTTCTTAATTTCTTGGTTTATCTAAGTACACTGTGACTCCACAAACAAAAGMATACTGGTATCGAGGTGCTGATCAATTTCATTGGTTGAATGTTAGGATTAAAAAAAAATATATGAAAAAGGTGCCACAGTAAATTGGACGAAATCCRAGATATGAAGGTCATAACTTACTAAGATTTATTTTCAAAAGTTAAATTATCATTAAATTACAGAGACAAGTAACTATAAAAGGAAGAAAAAACACRTACCTTGGTATTTCGAATTAGTTTGACATGCGAGAGATCAAAGAAAGGAGTGYTTCATACCAATTACGSTAGTACATATGGCCAACTATTGCCCACTCATTATAAGTTAACTGGATATTTTAGTTTAAATAAGATGACTACAATAACTGAAGACCGCCTAACTGAGACGTTCTTGACAGTCATCACTTRGTATTGGCGAACATTGCGGTTATGATAATCAATGAGGACTCTATCATGTCATATGTAACTTCACCTGTCTCTGGAAATCTTTAATAGTATTTTATCATATACATAGAGTGTATATACTAGATATACAAGAACACAGACAGAAAGGCAGATAAGCCTTTATAAATATATGAAGAACAATGGAATTAAGACCGACAAAATTTAATTAAAATTGTATATCAATTTATGGCTTCGTTTTTGGACAAATGAGTCATCATCTACAAATCTACGACCTTAGTCGAGTCATGAAAAATATCTTAGACAAACAAAAACTCAAATCTATCTAAGACTGTCGGAAACACAATATTAATATTGCTAGCAATTGCCGTGTTATTAATTTACTGGGAGGTCTAAGCATGTTACTTGAAAACAAACTGAACAAACACAAGAAAATTTGTAAAATTACGACCAACGGGTTTGTCAAAATAGAACTTACTGAATAACAACGGAATAAGGCAGAATACCGAGAAAAATCATGACTTATCGATCTAATTGTTTGAGACAATACAATACTTCAAGTCATAAACTGTCTTCATAAAGAGTGTACTTTAATTATACATTTTGCAATCAAACTGGCCTAGCGAGAGTATTTTAGRGTGGGGTATATGCTGATCTATATCATCTCATATTGAGATAAACATACAGATAATCTCATGTAAACCACGTGACCAATAATAATGATGCATCAGCTGTGTAAGCGTAATTAAGAACTGCTGATAATTGTTCCGTTGAGCCATATCGGGTTAAAAGAAACACAGTTTTCATTTATCAATCCATCCATTTATTCAATTTATCCAATTTTTTTTCTCGTTGATTAWTCACATCTTCACATTTAACGTATTCTTTTGGGCGTCAGTCTCACAAGAAACCAGGTTTTTAACAAGATCATTATATTTCTTCCCGCTTAATCGTGCATATTAACGTGCGGCTGGTAGAGCAATATAAAACGAGTCTACTAAAGTAGTGGTTTGTTTGTAATGTTTCCAAGGTGATCGTAAGGCTGTAAGTAACCTGGTCAATTAATCGTCTTGTTCTTTTGGTTGAATTCAAAAAGGCTGTAATTTGAAGAGATTCTTGACTCACTTGTCGAGTTTTCCCGCTTTGACGTAATATGTGCTTTTAGCATATCGAAGAATTGTCACGATATGTTGCATGCTGAACAATATATTACCAAAGTGGAAAAAACTCAATCCATAATTCATTTGTTTCGGTGATGACACTGAGTTAAAAGAACAAGAGACATCACAAATGTTCCTTCGTGAATGTTTTTATGATTWACCTGACAATAATATAGCAATTCTGAATATTCTTTTGGCGTAAGAAGAGAAGGTCCGGACTGACCAACGGTTGTCTGTTTAGTTAAGCACGCAGTCCCCTAATTTACAGATCAAAAGTAAGTCATGCGTTTTTTTTKTTKTTTTTTTTTTGCCCTATTCATTAACACCCGGTTGTAGCTATGGTCATAATGGTAGTTGGGTGCGAACGGTTTTTGGACGTCACCACAGCGTCTCCCTAGTGTAAATCCATACGACGATTCTGCCGCTTTGACTTCTGGATGCATGGCCTTTTTAAGTTTGTTATAAAATTATTCTCTATTAACCCAAAAKAGACGAGGGTTCACTTGATATCGTTGTACTATTATTATTGCTGATTCTTTTCTTCATACCCAAGCCGCGTAATACTAGTGYTAACACAACTGCAATTTTATTGATTTTAAGACGCATTCTAAAAATATTGCAGTTGTGGTTTTMCATATGTTTAAGAGAATTGTTTAAAGYGCAGTATTAATGTTGTAGCAGTTCAGAAGTAATTTTGTTTTGTTTTTCCTAAAATATGGTCAACGAAGGCCAACAATTCACAGTAGTGATAATACGGGAATAAATAATATAAACTACAATATTTCTTCGATGTATTTGAAAAGAATGACTTTCATTAAAACAAGATAAACTAAACCGAATATCATATATCGAAAAATCCTGAGTGTTTTAGTTATGTTTAGCGAAGAAGCATTCATATTCACGTTAGACCAAGACACCCTGTAGTAAAACAYTGTGATATTAGCATACTGAAACTAAAACAACAAACTTTATGTAGATTATTTGTACTCTAAGAATGTATATTTCATTATTAATGCTCTTCAACTATATATCTATACTCAGGGCTTTGCGTGAATCCAACCAATTTGTCAAGCCGGCCGTTTTGATGACGATTTTCGAATAGAACTCAGGTTATTAATGTGACTTTGTGCTATGAGTTTTTTATGACAAAAATATTCAATTATAATTTTCCGAAGCCCGACTTTAAGAAGAAATATCCCTAACTTGATGCCGCCATGATTGGAGGAAGTCAGCATGAGTAGAAAAGTTTCGATTGTGTACTGATTTGAGACACTCAAATTCGGKCAAAAAACAAATCTGCCAGTTTWTTACATCAAAAAMGTTTTTCTTTGCATTCATTGAGGTTTTCTACACAGTTTCCATCATCTAAATGAAKCTATTTGGACGTAGGTAAAGAGACATGACACACATTAACTTCTCTATCTTGCGGCATTTTCTCTAATATTTCCTGATATATGGTGAATATTCTAAAATTATCGCGGATATGAAAAAAGATTCAATTTTCAAAGGTGCTTGGAGCTATTAACAAATCAGGAAAACTACGATGATCCAAGACACAAAACCGAAGGAAATAAAACTCAGCTACGAATTGGACAAGAGAAGCTTAAAGTAAGATTGTATACTTACTTGTGAATCTGGCTTTATTCCTGTCTGCTGCACCAGTGTGTTCATTTATTATGAACGAATTCAAAAGAGAAATAACTTAGTTTGCTGTAGAAATCAATTATTCATACAGAAAACTGTTTTTATTACTCAGCCGGCGTTCAATTATAGGATAGCACGGCCATGTTACGCGAAATCTCATCTTTGGTTTCTAAACTGAAAATTTCTAGCGTAGAATGAAATTCGACGTGATGAAACCCGAGGGCGTATCAAGGCAGTAATAATGTATAATGGTAGATGCGATAACCATGAAGATTACAACGACGATACTAATAAAATAACCCGGAAATGCAATCAATTTGACGTTATGGATTGAATGAAGTGCACTGAGTTCAGGATAGTTGAGTACCATGTAAATAACGACCTTTCACTTAAGGTTGTGCAACTACAATAAAAACAGCTACACAGAGATCACAAGATAATAATAATTATTCAAAAGACACAAGAAAAGAGGAATACATATTTGTCAAATAAACCGAGAAGAATACTATTCAAATGCACCATAAAATCCTAAAAGAAGACCTTATTTACATGCGTGCAATATCAGGGAATTGAGTTTGTCCTACGTATTTAAGTATTATTGTTGGCGTTGCTATTACCATTATCAACATCATTGGCATTTCATATATCATTATTACCAGCGTGTGGTGTTATTATACTAAGCAATTTTGTCATAAAAGATTTGACCTCATACTTTGTGTTAGTGAATTAGGACTAGGAACGCTGGTTATTTATAGTGAGCGAGCTGTCAGAAACTTTCTCTGGTCAATTAGCAGGGTTAGATCAATCAAAGGAATTATGGGTAAAAGCACGTGTCAATCTTACGCCCATTAAACCATTTTAAGAATGTCGTTTGATAAAAAGCTGCTTCTTTACATCATGGTATGATATAGTTATAAGATTTATAGATTTGCGTGGTACGTGTATCGCCATCACGGCTGACTTGATTACGGTAGCCGATAAACGAGTCTGCGTATGAATCATCAATGTGAATTGCCGTCATAGATGAGTTTGGCAACTGCTAATTATTGTATGGAAAAGTTAGCATACTAACTTTGCGCACTCAAAAAAT